GGCGGGAGCCATTTTGAAGAACTCTAATGGCAGCCCAGAACCAGAGGTGCAGTCTTCCTGATTTCTGAAGCAAGGGCTGCTTTAACAAAGGCCTAACTTGTATGCCACACTAAACCAAACTATGCTTTAGCAAGACTGCAGTAGCATCTGGACTCCTAGAGAGGAGTTTAAGGGTGTTTTACTCCACCCTGGTATTTTAAACTCATCTGGCAAGGCAAGCCAAGCCCAAGTGTATTATCCTTGCTAACTGTCTTTACCCTCTGATGACTCAGGCAAATGAACCCAGTAATTTCAAAGTGGGGATTCAGTGTGTAACAGCTAGATGACAATTCATCAAGAAGCTCAACTCTATCATTTAGGGCAGGCATCCCCAAACTCAGGGTTCCAGCTGTTTTGGGACTACAATTCCCACCATCCCTGACCACTGGTCCTGTTAGCTATGGATGATGGGAGTTGTAGTCCAAAAACAGCTGGAGGACCGAGTTTGGGGATGCCTGATTTAGGGACTGAATACAGGCAATGGACTCTACCGCTGTAAAAATGTATTAACAGCATTGTCCAGTTATTTTATTTTTTATTTTATTAGTAACAAATCGGTACAAAATGCTAGCCAGACATGATTTTTTATATGAGTATAATGAAATCTATAGTATATAACAGGCTTTACAAAACTTGTTCAATTTCTGGAAATGTTATGTAAATTTATATAAACACTTCTCTATTTCATTGAATAAAGTAAAACACACACAGAACGAAACCAAAGAAGATACCAAATGATTCATTTCTATCTTATTTATTTATGTCTTTGTTTTCATGTCTATGTCAAGCTGATTTTATAAAAATCACTTCTCAATGCTGTTAGTAAAGGGTCACGGTGCTTCCTTTGCATACATTCAAATTGTGTTTTGCTATAAAAGAAGACAAAGGAACACATGTTTGGGTTAATTGGTGGATCCTGGGGCTGAAAAGGTTGACGATTGCTGCTATGATAGAGTGAAATCATTGAGAATCTCAGGCCAATCTAGCATGAAGAACAATATGACCCACTGTGAATTGTCATTCTGAAAGATAGAGGCTTTTTCTATAGATTCCTGCCCCATTACATTTTTTTTTTTTTTTGTACTTAGATGCATCAGCACATGCAAATAAGGGTGCAAGAGCACAGGTCTCCATGTCCTAGAGTGTAGGCTGGGCTTCCAGTCTTGCAGCTGATCAGCAGAAAGTACAACACCCAGCAAAGGTGGGAGTCAAAATCATCAGCAGCTGTGAAAACAAGAAGCTGACAACGAACTTTTTAAAGAAGCACTGAACTTGGTTGACCCTGACCACACAAACAGGACTACCTAGTTCAATGTGAAGTGTGGATTAGAGGAGGACTAAGCTGGATACACATTGGAGGCAGTAGCTGGAAAATCCAATATATTCAAATGCTTAGCGTACAAAGTCATTGTGAATGTCCTGTTGTCATAACCAAACAGCCAAATCATAAGTCAGGCTTGAACAACTTCAAGAGAGTTGCCCTTATCCCCACTGTGCTGAAATTACTGTCTTTTCAGGAGAGTCTCTGTGTATTTGTGTGTGCATATCTTCATAATACACCCCAATAGCAGCTAGGGATGAAAGGATCTATCAACTTCTCTCAGTTTCTCATTTTTCCAGGCTTAAACTCAGTTCTCTGCATTTTGCAGCAATTCATGATTTTAAAATTTTTTTTGGTGAAAATTCACAAATAATAACTCTGCCGCTCTGGGCAGCTTGCAGTACATGTAAAAAGATACAAAACACCAGACTTTAAAAACTTGCCAATTTTAGTTCACATTTCTGTTAATAAACATGTTTTTAGTTGCAGTTTTAACCAATGCACACAGTTTTGCTTATTATTATCAAAGATTTCTTAGTTTACAAAAATATGTGCATTGTAACTTTTTTCAAGTTGTGTTTTTACAGATCAGTTTCATTTGTCGTGAGACATTAGTGTTGCATGCAGTATTAGATTGGGAAGAAAAGAGGAGGAAAGGGGGAGGGAGATAGTGAGTGGGGTAAGGTGGGGTGGTAAGGCTTCTATTCTTCCACTTAGTATATGTGTGGGGCTTTGTGTCAGTGTCAGTTGTATGGGTTCTCTTGTTGTATTTCCTTGGTGGTGAGAGAGGTTGGGGTGGCCTAAGATGGATGTGGTTGGTTGTCTTTGGTTGGCTGTAGTGAGATTTGTTTATGTGTGTGAGTGTGTGGAGCGGGTGTGTATTTTTGGATCAAGTTAGCCAGATTGATTTGTATGCTGTCAGTGGATTCTTGTGGTTGTCTTGTTGGGCTATGTATGTGATAAAGGGGAACCATACCGGGGTGAAGGCGTCTTCTTCTATTTGTCCCCATGATGCACACAGTTTTGCAATTGATGCCTGCTAATATAATGCATTCTTGCATGTTATTTTCATCAATATATTTATTTTTGTGCACATTTCCCCCATATATATGCTTTAACATATTTTTACAAAAACATTACTTAATTGGTGAACTACATAGCAAAATTCAGATAAGGGTGAATTTTGAACGGCAGCTGCATTTCAGTTTGCATACAGTTTTGAGAAGCGCAAATTTGTTAGACTCAGTTTCAACAAGTCATGAACTGAATTTCTCCTCCATTCCTGATGGCAGCCTTCCCCCACCTGTTGCCTTCCAGTTGTTTTGAACTACAGCAGCTGTACTGGCAAGGGCTGATGGGAGTTGTAGTCTAAAGGGTCTGGCAGACACCAGGTGTGGAGGAGGAGTATTCTAAGGCATGAACTACATCACACCAGCCTTATTTTGTTTATCTAGCCTGGGACCCATAAAAGGGTTGTAAGTGTGTAAGACAGAGAGCATAATTTCACCTGTTCTGTTACTGCACAGTTTCCCACTGCCCAAGCAGCAAGATGCTTCTCACTTTTCACAAGCAAGGACAGTGAGGGAACAGAAAGAGCAAGAGAGGGCCAAATTAGGCAACCTGTAAATTGTGTTACTGCAGTCTATGCACCTTTCCCCACATCAGTCCATATCTCTTCATATACTATTTTAGTTTGCATAATGCTCGACCCATTCTCATAGTAATAATAATAATAATTTATTATTTATACCCCGCCCACCTGGCTGGGTTTTTCCAGCTACTCTGGGCGGCTGCCAACAGAATATTAAAATACAATAACCTCCCTGAGTCAGGCCGTTTTTATTCTGAATATTGTTTTGAAGATTGAGTTGACAGAAGCCAGAACATGCTCACAGCTGACTGAAGTCGGACTTGAGTTTGGTTCTCAAGGAACCAGATCCTAACTGCCTTTGAACTGCAGTAAGATTTGTGGCAAATATGCAGATTTAAGTGGAACCAGCCATGTCAAAGCTGTAGGGAATAGCTCACCTTAAATCCACATATCTAGGTTTAACGATTTCTGAATCAAAAGGCAAGTGACTTATTGAAGGATCAAACAGATTACCTGTATATATTTCCTCAAATAACGTAAAGCTCCCCACCTAAATAAATCAAATAAATCATGCTTCTATTGTCAGAGACAGCATGGCTCTGATTACTAGTTGTTGGGACTCACAGATGATTATTCATAATGGTAATATTTCTTGATTTGTACTCTCAAGTAGTAAATGCATTTTGCTAAATAACAATACAGTGGTACCTTGGGTTAAGTACTTAATTCATTCCGGAGGTCCGTTCTTAACCTGAAACTGTTCTTGAAGCACCACTTTAGCTAATGGGGCCTCCTGCTGCCACCGCGCCGCCAGAGCACGATTTCTGTACTCATCCTGAAGCAAAGTTTTTAACCCAAAGTACTATTTCTGGGTTAGCGGAGTCTGTAACCTGAAGCGTATGTAACCTGAAGCGTATGTAACCCGAGGTACCACTGTACAGAAAGAGGGCTGTTAAATTCTGTTTGGTGGCTTCCATTGTGAAAAAAGGATGCTGAATTAGTTGGTTCTTTGGCCTGATCCAGCAAGTCTCATCATACATTTTGATCATCAATTTCGGAGAGTAAGATAATATGCAAAATGGAGTTTTAAACCTTAGAATTTACTGGATGCAATAATTGGGGGGGGGGGATGAATTTCTAGTAAGTTCCAAATTTTAAATGGACATATTCAAATTTGAGTAGATGATGTTTAAATTTAGTTCCTAGATGGAAGAAGTGTGCAGCCTTTTCAGTTCTGCAACTGTGGAATACAAAAGCAGCACTGTCCTCTGTTGTGCAGCTGGGACCCTATGACTGCTTGGCTATTAACTTTAAAACAGCTCTTTGGGAAGAAACACTCTGTAAAGCAAGCAGCCAACACCAGATTCCACTTAATGCAGATGCCCCGGGATGTGGCCTTTTGCCTTGATTAAAAAGGATTCCTGATTAATAGGAAACACCGTTGACTGTAAATTGTAATACAGTTGTCTGGCTGAATGTCAAGCTCACCCATCTGTCTGCAGGGCCGCAACACTTTGTGAGTTTTGTCTCATGCTTTGCGGCGTTCATAAGAAATACATAGCAGCTATTTTTTATTTCTGTTCTTCGTTTACCTACTGGGCCTCGGTCCAGTATATCTGAAGGAGCGTCTCCACCCCCATCGTTCTGCCTGGACGCTGAGGTCCAGCGCCGAGGGCCTTCTGGCGGTTCCCTCACTGCGAGAAGCAAAGCTACAGGGAACCAGGCAGAGGGTCTTCTCGGTAGTGGCGCCCACCCTGTGGAACGCCCTCCCACCAGATGTCAAAGAGATAAACAACTACCTGACATTCAGAAGACATCTTAAGGAAGCCCTGTTCAGGGAAGTTTTTAATGTGTGACATCTTAGTGTATTTTTGGTCTTTGTGGAAGCCGCCCAGAGTGGCTGGGTAAACCCAGCCAGATGGGCGGGGTACAAATAATAAATTATTATTATTAGTGGTCTACCCCGCAGAGGAAGGGGGGGGGAAGTAGGTAGCTTGAAAAGTGGGCAGCCTGTTGGTGGTGGTCGTGGTTGGTGAAGTGGGGGCATATACCTGACCTCCCATCAATGGCACTGATGCTGCTTACTGGGAGGGAGAAGGGAGAGATGGAAGTGAGGTCAGCACGGTGCAAATGCCCTGGTGAAGTTCAACTGGTGCTTCTACCGGTGCATTTGCACCATGCTGACCTCACCATCCTATCTCTTCTTCCCTGCTTCCTCCCATTATGCTGCAACAACACCAGTGATGGGAGGTCAGCTAAGTGCTGCCACATCACCCTACTGACTGCTACTGGTTCATAGTTTGAAGTCTTGCAGTTCTAAATAAAAAACCCAGTGTGTTGCATCCAATATTAATCATAGAGCTCCTTAGGATGACCTGTTTATTTAGCATCCATCTGTTTGTACAGTGCTTACATGGCAGTTAGATTATATTCAATTTGTATTGAGCATTCTTTCTGATTTGTTTCTATGACAATGAACATTCATCCTCATTCAAATGCCCATTTGAAGCATGTGATGTTGGTGCAGTGCCTCCTTTCTGGACAGAAGTTGTTGTTCATAATAATTTTGCAGATGTTCACACGTTTTAAAATTATCTTCCTGTGGTGTGGAGATTAACAGATGGACAACAAAAGTGGACGTAGTGAGGCCTTATGATTGCAAAGAGCCTTCTACTCGTTTTGTTGTGTTTTTAGTCAGGTAGGTGGCCTAATAATAATATTACTATTGTTGTTGTTGTTGTTGTTTGGAAGAATAAACACCCACCAGCCACTCTCAGTGGTTGGAAATTTTCCCTCAGTCTTGTCTGGATATCTGCTTGGAGCTATGGGCTGCTTATATTCATATATGTTTAGGTCAGAATTTATGGATTTTGTTTCTTGTTAATGTGAGCTGATGCAGTTTCTTTTTTATATATTTTAAAACACACAGAGAGATTTACACATTCAACCTGATATGCTTGTGGGGTGTCTACACATTTTCTTGTTTATAATTTGTCCACCCCACACTTTCAGTACATTTCCCCATCACTCTCCAAATGGCAAAAAGCCTGCTTTTGTTTTGAAAAACTTTAATTTGCTTAACTTTTATCCACCTTAATGTCACAAAGTTCTGATACGCATTTGGATTCCTCCTACAGAATACTGAAAGTCTGGAGGCATCTCCATTACTAAACAGGTTTACAGTGGGCCTTCTCTGAGTTAATACAGTGGATTATTCTTAATAGACTTTGCTATTCTGCTCTTTCTCTCTTTTTTTTATAAGATATTTATTAAGATTTTTTTAAATATTACAATAAAAAATGAAAAAGAAAAAGAAAATACAAAATAAAAATGATTAAAAACCACCCAATTTTTCCATTGCTTATTTTTCCTTAGCTTGTTTCCCGGACCTCCTCATACCTCCCTGTTTTGTATTCCAGTTCAGTTTGTTGGTTCAGCAAATCCTTACCCTCTTTATTTGTCCTAATCTTTGGTCTTAAAATAGTAACATTAGATTTTTACCTCTTAACAACCCATTTTTCATATTCCCTTAAAGCATTACAGCTGGAAACCACTTAATTTCTATCCAACATCGTTCTAACATTCATTAATTTTACAATATTTCTGTAGATAATCTTTGAACTTCTTCCAATCTTCTTCCACCGACTCTTCTCCCTGGTCTCGGATTCTGCCAGTCATTTCTGCCAGTTCCATATAGTCCATCAACTTCATCTGCCATTCTTCCAGAGTGGGTAGATCTTGTGTCTTCCAATACTTTGCAATGAGTATTCTTGCTGCTGTTGTGGCATACATGAAAAAAGTTCTATCCTTCTTTGGCACCAATTGACCGACTATGCCTAGGAGAAAGGCCTCTGGTTTCTTCAAGAAGGTATATTTAAATACCTTTTTCAGTTCATTGTATATCATTTCCCAGAAAGCCTTAATCCTTGGGCACGTCCACCAAAGGTGAAAGAATGTACCTTCAGTTTCTTTACATTTCCAACATTTGTTATCGGGCAAATGATAAATTTTTGCAAGCTTGACTGGGGTCATGTACCACCTGTGTATCATTTTCATAATATTCTCTTTTAAGGCATTACATGCCGTAAACTTCATACCTGTGGTCCATAACTGTTCCCAGTCAGCCATCATTATGTTATGTCCAACATCTTGTGCCCATTTAATCATAGCAGATTTCACCGTTTCATCCTGAGTATTCCATTTCAACAGCAAGTTATACATCTTTGACAAAATCTTAGTTTTGGGTTCTAATAGTTCTGTTTCTAATTTTGATTTTTCCACCTGGAAACCAATTTTCTTATCCAATTATATGCCTCCATTATCTGATAATAATGAAGCCAATCTCGCACTTTGTTTTTAATTTCTCAAAACTCTGCAATTTCAGTCTATCTCCGTCTTGTTCCAAAATTTCCCAATATTTCGGCCATTTGGCCTCCATATTGAGCTTTTTCAGAGCTTTTGCTTCCATCGGTGACAGCCACCTTGGAGTTTTATTTTCCAATAAGTCCTTGTATCTTATCCAGACATTAAACAATGCTTTCCTGACAATGTGATTTTTAAATGCTTTATGTGCTTTGACCTTATCATACCACAGATATGCATGCCATCCAAATACATTGTTGAAACCTTCTAGATCCAAAATGTCAGTGTTTTCAAGAAGCAACCATTCTTTCAACCAGCAAAAAGCTGCTGATTCATAGTAAAGTTTAAAGTCTGGCAGGGCAAATCCACCTCGTTCCTTTGCATCTGTTAATATTTTAAATTTTATTCTAGGCTTCTTGCCCTGCCAGACAAATTTAGAAATATCTCTCTGCCACCTCTTGAAACAGTCCATTTTGTCCACAATTTGCAGTGTTTGAAACAAAAACAACATTCTAGGCAATACATTCATTTTTACCGCAGCAATATGGCCCAGCAGTGAAAGCTTCAAATTTGACCAAATTTCTAAATCTTTTTTCACTTCAGCCCAGCATTTTTCATAGTTGTCTTTAAATAAATTCCCATTTTTTGCTGTCATGTTAATCCCCAAGTATTTAACTTTCTTAACCACTGTTAAACCTGTCTCATTCTGAAACCTCTCTCTCTCTATTGGTGTTAAATTTTTCTCTAAAACCTTGGTCTTTAACTTATTCAACTTAAATCCTGCAACTTGACCAAATTCTTGAATCAGTTCTAAAACTCTTTTGGTACTAGATTCTGGCTCCTGTAACGTCAATACTAAGTCATCTGCAAATGCTCTCTATTTGTACTGTTTTTCTCCGACCTGTATACCTTTAACCAACCGGTCCCTTCTAATCATGTTCAGCAGAACCTCCAGGACCGATATAAAAAGCAATGGGGAAATTGGGCAACCTTGTCTTGTCCCTTTTTCTATCCTAAATTCTTCTGTCACCACATTATTTACAATTAGTTTAGCCTTTTGTTCTGAATAAATTGCACTTATACCGTTTTCAAAACCTTGGCCTACCCCCATCCCCTGTAGGTTCTTCTTCATAAAACTCCAAGAGATATTGTCAAAAGCTTTCTCCGCGTCCACAAATATCAAAACTGCTTTAGTATTTATGTTCACTTCTAGTTTTTCCAAAATATCAATTATATTCCTCAAATTATCGGACAAGTGTCTTCCCGGGAGAAAGCCCGCTTGGTCTTTATGAATCTCTTCCATCAATACTTTTTTCAATCTCTTGGCCAAAATGTCTGCAAAAATTTTGTAATCCACATTAAGTAACGATATGGGGCGGTAGTTCTTAAGCTGAGTCTTTTCAGTCTCTGTCTTCGGTATAAGTGTAATGTACGCCTCTTTCCAAGACTCTGGTGCCCTTTTCCCTTCCAATATTTCATTGCAGACTTCCTTTAAAGGTTGTAATAGCCACTCTTTCAAAGATCTATAATATCTAGAAGTCAGCCCATCCGGTCCTGGAGATTTGCCTAATTGCATGTTTTGAATGGCACCTTCTACTTCCTGTTCAGATATTTTATAGTTCAACATTAATTTACTTTCTTGGGATATTTTTGTAATCCATTTGTCTTCAGAAATTGGTCTATATCCATTTCTTCTTGTGGCCCTTGTGTATATAGTTGTTTAAAATACCTCTGGAAACAGTTTCTAATCTCAGTTGGGTTATGTATATTCTTTCCTTCCACTTCTAAATTTGTAATAGTATTTAATTTTTGTCTTTTCTTCATTTGCCAGGC